AAATAATAAATTTTAAATTAATTTGAAATAATTAACTTCATTTTAGTAATCAATTTTATATGTATATTATAGAATTGTTCTTGTGTATATCTTTCATTACGGAGTTCTAAATTTTAAGTCAATATTCATTGCATCAATTGTTCAGGAATAAATAATTTCTATTTGTTTTTACAGAATTCAGTTCAACGCGCAGAAAGAGAACTGCTTTTACAACTCATCAACTTTTACATCTGGAGAAGGAGTTCATCACCCACGGCAAGTACTTGTCTCGTTTGGAAAAAATCAAAATCGCCGGAGATTTGGGATTAAGTGATCGACAGGTAAGAAAATTGATATTTGTTCTTTATTTAATTCAAAAAACACGAACAAAAATAATAAAATTATGGATAAAATTCGATTGATGTGGTTTTCGAAGTATTTTTTTGATGAACATGAGGAACTCGAATGAATATTTTAAATAATTCAATTTTTTTTCATCGACTTTAAAGGTTTTGAATAAGGAAATTGTTCTTATTTTAAGTAAATTTAACCTCCGTGACAATTCTTTCGGCTTGATTTTAAACAATAGATTCTTCAAAATAATCTTCTCAGATCAGCGTTTATTTTTTTAAATCAAGTTCATTTCTGTAATCAGTTTATATATGGCCTTTTTATTGGAAAAAGAAAATAATTTAATTTGTTTTTTCCAATTAATCTGTATTTTTATTTCTAATATTTTTGTTCCGTCCTAGAAAATTAATCAGAAAGTATTTAATTTTTTTTAACTGTTATTAAATAATTGATATGTAAAACTAATATAATTTTTTGACAGGTTACAGTCTGGTTTCAAAATCGTCGCATGAAAGATAAGAACGATGGATCAGTCAAAGTCGACAAAGACGCGGAGAAGGATCCTAAGACCGCTCTGCCTGACACTCAAATTGGTTGCAAAGATAGACACGTGGAAGTCAAGAAAGAAATAACATACCAAAACACTGGCTTTGTTGCTTCTGCTTCTGCTTCTGCTTCTGTTCCTGCTCCAGTTATAACTCACGGACGAGAGAATCAAATGCATACTCTCAACTACAGCAGCAACTCATCTACTGGCATCCGCCAACATCACCTGAGTAGTTGGAATTTCCATAATAGAATCAACTACGACACAATTCAAAATCAGAATTATAAAAATTTTAATGGTCCTGACTGGAACTATAATTTCATCAATGAACATTGTTCAATTTCCAACGGATACGCACACGAAGTCAAAGCTAAGGAAACATTTCACACTTGTTATTTGAATAATTGCACTTCTATTAATAATGATTATTATCCGCCTGGTTGGAACAAGTAGACTGCTGATCTAAATTCAAATTGTTCTGGATCATCCCTTTAATCAATTATTCGATGCCATTCGAATATAATAAAATTGTTTTATATTTTATTTATGCTGTTTTATCAATTATTTCATTAAGTTTAATTTTTTGTATTTGTGATTAATATTTTCTTTGTACTTAATATTTTGTTAATTTTTTTTTATGAATTTAGAATAAATATTCTCAAATTACAAACTGTTGTTATTCACTGTATTATATTTATTAAATTTTTTTTTGCAGTCTTTTTTGCGATTTCTTAAAATCTTCTGGTCCGAATCGGTCCAAATTGTATTCAAAATCTGAGTTCTTTTGAATGGCGCCAACCGCGATGAAATCGGTCAAGCCGTTTACAAATTATAACAGGGTCGCATACACACACACAGAGTAGTCAGGGAAGCTTCTTAAGGCCTCAAAACGTCGAGATCTAATGAGAATTCGATTTTTGCAAAACGGGGTAAAATCAATAACTTTCTGATTTTTTTTAATTTTCAATTTTCTTAGCAGAAGAGCTCGAAGAACTCAAAAGAATACAAAAGCTATTTTTTGAGTTCGGAGAGCTCAAAAGAATACACACATTGTATTTATAAGCTCGAAGAGCTCTAAAACGTCGTAAGTGCAATTTCAAGCGTTTAGGTATAGAATTGGGGGGAAGTTGCAGGGATGGCCTTCAGGGTCAACCGTTTTCCTAATTTTTTGTCTTGGGGATATATTGTCGGGGATATTTTGTCCGGGGATCAAAAATCATGGAACCCTGAAATTATATAGAATTATACATGATTCTATATACTTTTACATAATTATATAAAATTATACAAAATGACCGCGAAAATTACGTAGAATTATATATAATTATGTACGATTATATATACTCTTACATAATTATACAAAAATATCTAAAACTTTCTATAGAAATATGTAGAATTACATATAATTTTGCATAATTATATGAAATTTTATATTATAATATATAATTTTGCGTTGTTATATATTATAATACAAAAATCATCTAAACTATTATATAAAACGATATATAACTATATATAATTATTAGGGTGGGCCAAAAAAAACTTTTAATTTTTTTTTTCTTTGGCTACTGCGAAAATATCGTCCAAGATGACGAAAAAAAAATTCTGGTAGAGTTTGAGCTCTTAATATCAATATCTAGAGGTGTCACGTGGTGATTTTTGATTTCCCATCTAAATAACACGGGAATTTTTTTTTTTTTTTTTGGAATTTTTATGTATCTCAACGAGTTATGATGTGGTAAAAATAAATAAATATTTTTGTAGGAAATTGAACGGCCTACAAAAAAGGTCTGATATAATTTT